GTGACCAAACCTAAACCCCTTTTTACAACCAGGTCTGCACAGCTGCCGGGAAAGTCAGGCTCACACCCCTAAACCCCTAAACCCCAAAGCCCTAAACCGCCTAAACCGTAAACTGCCTGAACCATAAAAACCCTAAACCTGGAAGCCTCAACCCGAGCCTGCATAATTAAGGGCTTACAGAGGATGCAGGCCGCTTAAGAAGGATCCAGTCCCTTCAAAAGCTTCTCGCGGTTTTCGCTGCCAAATACAAGCCCGGAACGATTCCAAAACGAAGCGATGTCTCCTTGCCCTTTGGGTCCAAGGTAAAAGTTCTGAATCCGTGCTCGTACGCCCAATGCTAAATCACCTGCCTTGTGCCGGCAGCTGCCCTTTCGAGTGCAGTTCACATCAAGGAAAAGGCTGCACTTCAGTTCATCTCCTCAACGAGACTCCGAAAGTTAAGCTGGTTTGTGGATCACCTGGCACGAGGTGTAATAAATTGGCTCTTCGTGATCTTGCCACCTCCATGAGCAACGATACAGTTTTGCCAGCTAGCATCATGACAGTCAGTCCCACCAAGTCATGAAACACACCGGCGCCCGCAGCTCCATGCCTATACCTGCACTATGCCATGTCCTTCATCACCCCCATCACACACCACAATTACTACCACCACCATTGTCATCTTCAGCAGCATTTGCAGAAGTCGCAGTAGCCTATCGTACGCAACACTGAGGTCATGGCAAGCAAAGCCGCAACTCTCCTCCTGTAAGCCCGAATCCCCTAAACCCTAAACACCCACCATCATCACCATCATCACCATGATCAACACCATCAACGACGCCATGATCATCGTCGCCGTCATCCCCGTCGTCTTCGTCGCCCCTAGCAGCCTCATCCTTGGCTCGTTGCTTCTCGCCGTCGCCATCGCCATTAAGACTCTGTCCATGACATGACCATGGCTTTGGGCTTTGGGTTTAGGGTTTAGGGGGTTTCGGGTTTAGGATGATCAGGACCATCATTATGATTACCTACGCTTTCCTCGTTACGATCATGCCCCACGGAAGAAATCGTGAAAACATGTGTGGGATCGTGTTGCAACCCGAAGTATGTTTTTGAAGTATGTGCTAAAACCCCAACACATGGACAAACACACGCCGACCTCCATGGTCTCTCTGTAACGGCCAGCCGAGGAGCGCTGCAGTGTCGGGTTCTGGCAGCTTGGCCGCGCGGAAGCCTCGGTCGCCAGAGAAGGGATCCGGGTTTAGCGCTTCAGATTAGTGCTACGGGCTTATGTTTTTGGGGCTCAGGTTTCGGGCCTGTCTGGCCTGAGACGGAGGTTCAAGACTAGTAGCGACTAGCGCAGCGGACAGGACTGTTGTTCGCCAACATGGTATTCTGGCTCCAATGGTTGGTCTCCTTAGAATAACTGATCTCGGGGCCAAAAATCAAAAACAATGGAATCACCTGAGATGCACTGCGAATAGAGCAGTAAAGTGCAGTGTGAGTGTACCGAATTTGATATGTTACATTGCGGAAAGATTTGCAAGAATAAAACCATACAAGCAAAAACAGCAGCAACCGTAGTAGAAATAATCCACATGCTGATGTCAAGTACGAGGCGGCGAGGACCGTGCTTGAAGTATCAAGGGGCCTTAGCACAGGGTTTTGGGGCATATTACACTAGCCTTACAACAAGGAACCCCCAATACGCCCCCATTTTGCTTTGAGGGTTCTGCTCTATGGTCAGCTGGTGTGGAATCTTACTCGGAACGCTCTTGCAATCAAGCCTTGAACTGTTGAGTATCTCTCGTCGTTATAAGATGGGCAGATTCAGCGATGCCGGGCGAAAAAGCCCTGCACCTACTCGCCCAGTCTGGCTGTCACGTCCTGAATTCCAAGTCCGTCATGCACCTTCGCCGAACCCGAACTCCAAAACAACAGAAAGCGCCCTAAATCCTAAACCGTAGGCCCTAAACCCTAAACCCAAAGCCCAAATCATTATGTTGATTCCTAAACCCGGATGCGATGATCCAACACGAAGCTTCTCAACCGACACCCATCAATCCTAAACTCCTCTACCCTTAACCTCTTGACCTAAACCCTAAAAATCGTGCTACGGTGTAGGGTGTAGGGTGTTGGTTTTAAGGTCTAGGGTAAAGCCGTAAACCCTAAACGGCTAAAGCCGGACGACTCAACACTCCGATCCCATGCCCTTGACCCCGCAAAACCCTAGAATCCCTAGAAACCCTAAAACCCCAAAATCCTAAACCCGAAGCCCTGAATTCTAAAACCTAACCTTGAACCCTGAACCCCGCCACACCCCCACAAAGCATCAAGAGACGATGGAGGAGGAAGGCCATCCCGAAGATACCGCTTTGAAGCTGCTGGAGCGTCTGCCTGATTTGAAGCTCGAGGGATCAGGGTCTTTAGGATGTTTGTTTAAAGGGTTCCTTCAAGGGCTCCTCTCAAGGGGTTCCTTTCATGGTGCTATGAGGGTTCTCTGGAGGTTTTGGGTTTTTTTAGGTTTGGGTGTTGGGCCTGAGTGTCGAAGAGTCTTCGGGTTTTGTGCTTGGAGTTCTGGTTTCGGGTTTGGTGCCCAGAGTGTTGGGGGTGAGTGTTTTCCTGGTCCCTAACTAATGTGAAAAAGCGGTGTTCGAGGAGAGAAATTGCAGTGGACAAGCTGGCTCTGTAGGCGGGATGTCGTTACAGTTTCTGCCCAATACGGATGGGGTGATCGTCAGACCCAGAAACCAAGCCCAACATCTCCAACAAACCCTCCAAACACAAGAAAGCCTGAATGCCAGCTAAGGGCCTGAACATGCCTGAACTCTAGGTACACTTTAGACACAAGCCCCACACCTTAAAACCTCAGCCTCAACCACAAACCCTTAAACCCTAAACCCTTAAACCGTTAAACCCTAAACCCTTAAACCCTAAACCCTTCAAAAAATCTGCATTCCGAAGATCTGAGCTTCGTATTTCTCCGAGGTGCTTGACGAGCTCCGACTCACATCCCTGTTCTGCCACGAAGCCCTTGAAGGCCTGCGAATCGCTCCAGAGGCTTGGGACTTGGAGGGCAGAAGGCTCTTTGCAGCCTGGTTTATGCAGGCGCCTTAAAGAATCAGAAACAGGGTTTTGGTGTTTATTGTACTCTATTTACAAGCAGGAACCAGTACATGTGCCGCCATATTTGGAACAGGGTTTTTGGGTATCAGGAGCTCCCAAACTATTGGTAATTATTTAAGCCCTTACATTACCCCCTAAACCCTAAACCCTACACCCTTTTGCAACAGTCTTGCCACTTCCCCCGGAGCCCTAAACCCTAAACCGTAAAACCTAACCCTAAACCCAAGCATAAAGGCCAAACGAGTTCCAACGACTTTGAGACATCTTGTGCTACAACCCTTTTGCAACGCCCCTAAACCCCCCCCCCAGAGGCTAAACCCTAAACTTTACTAAACCCTACAAGTAGACGAGGCTCTAAAACCAGAATCGCCATTTATGCTCCGGTAGAAGTTTCGGCCCTGACTACATCCTGACCCCCCTAAACCATAAACCTTAAACCCTCAACGCTAGACCCTCTACCCCCAAACCCTAAATCCTAAATCCTAAACCCTAGATCCTAAACCCCAACCCCAAAAAACCTAAACCCTTAAAGCAGACCTTCAGGGCATGGAGCTCCCCTCGAATTGCTGGGGCAGCGGTCAGAAAGGGGCCATAATACTAAGAACAGGGTTTGAGAACATATTATACTCTGTTCCCAAACCTTATTCTGAATATGAAGGCCCCTATGTTGCCATATTATTGTAGAAACTATACTTGTTACTGTCTTTTCGTAGGGGCCCCGACCGCAAGCCATGAGCCCCCTACGCCGAAAGCCGAAAATCCGGTGCTTAAAAAATCAGAACAGGGTTTGGGGTTTACTACACTATGCTTAAAATACGGAACCCCTAAGTTAGTAAAAAGTACTTCATCCCCTACATTAAAGCCTGACCCCGAAACGCCCTGCAAGCCCTGAGCCCATAACCCCTACTGTAGATACTAAACCGGCCATACTGATTCACGATCAAGGCCCTCAAGAAACCAAAGCTCTCCCACACCACAGAAAACCCTAAACTAAACTCTGAACCCTAAACGACCTTCGGACGAGGGTTCCTAGGATTTCCGGATGAAGGGTCGAAAGGCCCCATAACCAAAGACTCCAAAACCCTTTGAAAAAGAAATACTGAAATACACCTTACATCATATTAGGGTTCCTATTCTAATTTAAGGTCTATTCCTGAATTAAGGGGTTGTGAAGTCGTTGGGTAACCTGGCAAAGAGTCGCAGAGAGCTGCTTCGCTCATCCTCCAAGACCTGGTAAGGCCAAACCCGATACCCCAAACTGAAATCCTAAAACAGGGTTGTAGGGCCCATGAGAATTGCTATCGTAATAGTAACAGTGATGATATTGACAATAAGGAGGAACTCCCAAAATAATATTGGTAACTTTTTGGGCTTCTACATTGCTTCAGCCACACCAAGGGATTCCGGAAAGCCTCGGTGTCTGCGAGGACGGAGGCTAACTCTCCAAGCAAGCTGGTACCTGCCACCAGAAAGCTAGCTCTCAGCGGTTTGGGGTTTAGGGCTCAAGGTACTATAGGAACCTGATTCAAAAATCCCTGGCCCTATAATCCCGATGTTGTTCCAGGTTTGCCTCAAGGGTTGCTGGCATTGACATCCATGCGCTGCTCGCAAAGACGAAAGATCCCCTTTCTTCCGCTCAAAGCACAAGAGACATGTCAAGTTACTATTCTGCTTACGTCATCTCGTGTGACGTTACAAGACTGTACACTTCCATAAAAGGTGCTGGCCAAGGGTTTATCATGACATCGTAGCCTGCCCTTGAACCAGCAAGTCGCATTGGCGTTCTCGGGTCTTCAAACGCAGCATACCCTTTAGGCGCTACGCTCTCTCCCCACACAGCTTCCCATGCCCTTCATATCCACACTCCTCCTCTGGAGAGCCGCAAGGCTTCTTCAGCTAGGGATTGGGAATGCAGATTCAGCCTGCGCTTGATCTTTACAAAACGTACAAAGCTGTCTGTACATCAAAGGCTTTGATAAACGTCTCAAGCCGGCACAATTGTTGTATGCATGGTACTTGTCGCTGTCGTTGATGAGGTAGATGGCCTCCGGCGGCATGGGTACGTACTGTGTGTAGTTCCTACGGGCCCTTCTTATTGAAGATGTAGATGGAGGTGGCGGTGGATCATATACTTCATGTGAACTTCCCGGGGGCATAGGCGGCGGGGTCGGCCTGTCATCGTGCTCTGGACATGGACGAGTCGGGCAAGGCGTAGTCGGGGCCTGCGGCAAGCCAAGGAGCTGAGATATCTCCTGCTCTTCTTCTCTTTCACGACGTCCCCGGGCCTTCCTCGCCTGCAATTCGTCCTGGATTGCCATGGCGGCTGCATCCCTCACCTTCTTCAGTCGTCGTATCTTCCGTTCTTTTGCTCCTGGTGTCCACGTAACGATGAACTCATAGCCCATCCATTTCGCGATCTCCCACATGGTCAAGATTCCACCAACCACCAACAACATGAAGAACAGCGATGCCAGGTCGGTGTCCAGCTCCAAGGATTTGCGCACATGGCCTTCGACCCTTCCGGAGCTTTCAGGCTGCGTCCGTCCCTCCGAACGCACAACCATCATGCACCAAATCATCACTGTCATCACCCGCGCTGCTTGTTCACGTGCTGCTGCCGCTCGAGCTGTGCTTCCTGTCCCGGGGTTGATCGAGTCCGTTGCTTCCTCCCGCGGGCCAAGACCCCACAATCTTGCCAACTCCAGTATCCTGGTCGACGTCAAGGCTTTCGTCAATAGATCTGCCAGTTGTTGTCGGCCTTCGATGTGGCCGAGGCCGAGCTCATGCGCCTCTAGCCTTTCCTGAAGCCACATTGCCTTCACGCGAAGGTGGCGTGTCCTCCAACTTGATGCTCCTTTCGAGAGGGAGATTGCCGAGGTGCTATCGCACCACAACTGCTTGGAAAGATCGCTCAGGCCCAAATCCTCCATCATCGCCCCACTTGACAACAGCGCCAGCGCTCCGTCCAGCTCTGCACCAAGTTCGCACTCCGCCGTGGAGATTGCCGTGGTCGTTTGACGGCTCGACTTCCACATAATTGGGCATCCGTAGAGCAGGATTGCCACACCTTGGTGACTCTTCCCGCCGCTCGGCGCAAAGGAGGCATCAGCATATCCATGGAGCTCTGTGGAGTCTGCGATGAACTTCAGCACCCAATGCTTTGTCCTCTGGAGAAAACCCAAAGTTCTCTCCGCCACCGTTGAAACCCTCATTGGATCTCTTGTGCTGAGTGATGCCGCCAATGAGGAAGCGAAGGCGACATCTGGTCGGGTCCTTTGCGAAATCCATAACAGCTCTCCCGCGTATTGTTGAGCATCTCGGATCGCGGTAGCCTCGGCAATCACACCTTCTTCCACATCGAAGTTTGCCATGTCGCGGGGCACGGGGATGAGGTTCAAGGCGGTCTCTGGGATACGATGCAGGCGGAGCAACTCTTCTATGTAGGCCTTCTGTCCCAACACATAGCCACCCTCTACCTCCTCGATCTCCACTCCTAAGAACCTCACCGGTTGGTCTCGACCAATAATCTGCAGCCCTCCCGTGTTCCACAGGTTCTCGATCGCGGCTGCGCGCGCCTTGATGACCTCAAGGATTGCACATATGAGGAAATCATCCACGTAAATTATGACCAGACCTTCTATGGTGCCGTCTTCGGTCTGGATGGTCCACCACGTGTCCTCGATCTTGCCCTGGTGCAGGAGGTACTTGATATCCCCAACGACGAAGGTGAGGATGTTCATCTCGCCATCTCTAAAGCGACTCCATAGGCGCGGGCTCTCCTTCATCCCGTAGAAAGCATGGGTGAAATACCAAAGTTCACCAGGCTTTATGAGTCCCAGGCGAAGTAGAAGCTTCGGAGGGCTTCCAGCCACCACTGGGAACCCAGGCTCATTGCGGATCGGCGTCCTCAAGAAGGCCGCTGTCACGTCGATCACTCCCAGCTTCCATCCCCTTCGGCTTGCCAGCGCAATTGCAATTCGAAGGACCTCGGCAGTGGCTCCCGACGTGTAGACTTCGTTTTCATTGTCTTGGGCATGATTTCCACACACCACGATCCTCGCCTTTCGGCGATACCATGGGTCCTCTGGCCGCTCCGGCGCCTCAGCTGGAGGTTTGCAAGTGAAGACAAACTTCATCGGCAGCACCTGGAGGCCTGGCATGTTCAGGATCTGGTAATACTCCTCCTGGCCTGGGACCACCTTGATGATGGCGTGCGATACCGCGTCCAACTCTTTCTGGATGGATTGCCTCCAGGATTCCAGAACCGGGATCACCTCCGCCTGCGCAACATTGTGGACCACTGCCAGGGGCTTTGCCAACGATTTCAACACCTCCTCAATTCCGGTCGTGTAGCTCACCTCCACCTTCTTCAGGAACACCTCCTCCCATGTTGGCTCGCCAGGCTGCATCCTTACCATCATCACGGACTTTCGCTGCAAAGCTTTGCCATCAACCGCTGACGATGTGGGCAGTGGGATTGCGATGTCCCAGAGGGCATTTTCTTCTGTGCCCCCAACGTCGCCCGCGAAATCCAAGTCCCAATTTGCACAGGGCTTTCCCCAATTGAACTCGAACTCCACCTGATCATCCTCGATCTCATGTTGGCCGCTCTCCACAGCTTCACACGCCCGATCCACCACGCATTGCGCCGCTACACCTGTTGGTCTTTCCCCAGAACCCGCTTCCAAAGCTACCACGGGAACCACAAAGCCCAGGTCTTCTAGGACTTCATAGGCCAAGGTGTCTAATCCCCTCATGGTGTTCACGGTGTAGCCGACAAGCACTGTCCTTTTCCCTTTCCATGGCATCACCCAATGTCTTCTGAATGGGTCTACTCGTCGTACTTGTCTGTCCGGCATGGGATGGGCGCAACCGAAGTAAGTTCCTTTGTTGTCAGAGGCGGCCACAATCGGCCCTCGCACTGTATCTCCATCTTGCAGTTCGACCCACAAGCTTCCACCAGATTTCGGAGGCTTGATGACCACCGCGTAGTTCTTTGTGAGAGGATGGTTTTGCGAATCACGATGTAGGCGCCGTTCATCAATGCTGGAGATGTAGAGGGAGGTAAACTCTGCCTCCGGGCACAACTCCGTCAATGCCCTAGTTGCTAGTTTCACCAGGGTTGGCCGCTCAGACGTGGCCTTGTGGAAGCCCACCACCCCTCCATGACGAAAAAGGCCGAACTTTAGCACGGTCCCCGCGACTTCGTCATTGATGATCTGGATAGCCTCCTCCAGGTTCCACTCTTGCAAGCATTGCGCCGCTCGTTTTTCACTATCCACCACTGTCTGCTTCACATGCTCTAGGGCCTGCAGTCTCCTTGGCTCCTCCTGGTCCTCATCAAAACCAACATGCGTCTTTCTTGTCATTCGGCGACGAGGCGGTGGGTTGGGATCTGCTTCGAGGACGTCACTGGGAAAACCAGGATCATGTAGCCCAACTCGAACATTGGTGGTGTGGATGAATGAGTTTCTCGCCTCGTTAAACACCAGATGGCCACCCTGGACATAGTCAGACAAGCCCACGTACCTCGCTTCCTCCCACTTCGCGCCAAAGGAGTCCTTTGCCTTCGATTTTTCTTTGAGGTCGTAGTCGTAGTGCCGCTTCTTCACCATGACCTTCGTCCCAAACGGCGCCATCAACTTTGTCATGAAGCCCAGAACGTCCGCCCGTTGCATGGCAGCCGCCGCTGCAGCCGCCTGCGGCCACAACTTCTTCGGCAGCCCTGAAGCCCCAAGCAGCGTCCTTGTCCTTTGCTTCACCCACCTGACCGTCTGCTCCACCGAACCATTAGACTGAGGCACTCCCGGCTCCGATGTCGTCACCCTGATCGACTGGTTCTTCAGGTAGGAGCGGATCATCCTTCCTTGAAACGCAGAGGCCTTGTCAGAGTGGTGTCGTAGGACAGGTAGATTGTGATGGCGAAGATATGTGAGGATGTCCTGCAGAGCTTCCAAGATCTCAGCTGAGGTTCCGGAAACCAAGGGCGTGGCGAAGACCAAGTAGGTGGATTCTGGAGGTTTGGTGTCCCCTTCCGCCATCTGAGGGTTTTGCACCCTCTTTCCACTTTCCTCAGCTTCACAATCCTCCTCCAACTCACCATCACCATCACTCACACCTGCACCCACATGGGCGTTTCGCTCATCTTGCTCTTGGTCCTCAGGTTCAGAAGGGCTATATGGCTCCAACTCCTTCTCCAATTGGTCACCCTCGTCGAACGGGCTGGTGTTCTCATCGACTACCTCCCCATCCTCAGCAGTCTCTTCCCAGGTCCCATTGGCAAACGACGCTGGAAATCGGTACTTGCACACCAACAGGTTTTTGAACTGCTTGTAGAAGGGGCTTCGGGCGTTGTGGTCCAATCCTGCTTCATGCGGGCCAGAAAGGTCGGATGTTAACGTGAACATCTCCGGATGGCTCACTCGGCGATGCGGTCTTCCACTGGCCCCGAACATGCTGCAGTACAAGCAGTCCCGACGAGGAGGCAAATGGCCCCGAGCCACGTGCTCCTTCCATTGGCCCACCGTCATAGCCGTCAATGCCGGGGTCACCAACCATTCCTTCAAGGCCAGAGATATCGCTGCGCATAGGCCTGGAGCCCACGCCGCCAGAGCTTCGGATGGGCCGTCGAAAGGCTCGAGGACCCCTTTGGTTTTCGCTCCTCGAAGCAACGCCAGAGACATCATGTTCGTTCCCAGCGTCGTCGGCTTGATGGCTTTGTGACCATAGGCGCCCTGCTCGAAGCTGACCTCCGTGAGTCCTGCCTCCGCTGCGTACCTCTTCCACATTTCGGTATCCCAGAATGATGGCAACTCACTCCAGTTTGGGGTCGTGCTCGGCAAGTACTCATGGGGGTCTTGGGGCTGCTCCAGAACAAACGCCACCGTCGATGCTGACATTCTCCGGCCCAAACTTTGCAACCTCCCTGCCGTCGATTTTGCATGGAGCCAAAGCATGCGAACGAACAGCTTGGTATCCCGGGTCACCTGCAATCTTTCACTGGGTGACTGGTCCGGCCACCCATACGGGTTTGCCCGAGAACGTACTGGCGATGGCCCTGGCTCCCGAAAACGAAGTCGACTGAATGTTCTGCACGGCGGCCCTCCGATGACTGCTGCAATCTTGCCTTGCGACGCCGCCCATGACAAAGCCCGCCACAAGTCCTGGTCCAATAGGTTGTGGCCTTGGGACCTCGCAATGTCCAGCTCCAGGAGGACCCTGTCGCCATCGTTCAACCAGCTGAATGCCTCCTTCTTCGTCTTTCCAGCAAAGAGATGAACCACCCAGCTCTTCGATGACCACAAGCGTCGCCGCTGCCTCCGGTTGAGGAATGTCAGCTTCTTCAGGATCTGCCATCCACTCTCATTGTCCACGTTCGTTGCCAGGCCATACAGTGCCTCCGCAGGGACGTCCTTCAAGAAGGGAGCCGCCGCGACTGCCTTGTCCTCTTGGCCTGAATGCCCATAGCAAGCCTCGCCCAGGTAGTCGAACCACGACTTATCCAGCGTCCTCGCCATCGCCTGAACCCTGGCCTCTGTGCCCTTGACATTCTCGGTGAACTGGTCCAGCTTCTTCTTCTCGATCTTCGAGATGAGCTCCAAAGCCCTGGCCTCCGAGATGTGCGGGCACCCTTCTTTGGTCGAAAGCCGCACAATGGTCCCATCTGGGCCCACCAAATGGCAGCTCGCAGGCCCCCACTCGAATCGATACCCCAGGGTCTTCACCAGCTCACCCACTGGGACGATGGCATTCGTTGTGGTCTCCCTGGCAGTTCCGTCCGCTCCAAAAAGCAGCGTGCCGGCGTTATTCATCTTCATCTGAACTTGCTCACCGCCGGCTAAGACCACATTAACCCACATGCTTCGATCCCACTCCTCCTGCGAATGCGGATGACGTAGGGAATGGGTAGCGCCGGTATCCGCCAAAGCCATAGGTGCCCTGTCGCTCCTTTCGTTAATGGCGTCCAACTCCATGACCTTCGCCGCCTTCAACTTGATGTCACCTTTCTCACCCGCGCTCTTAGCCATCACAACCTGCTGGGCGGCCTGCATCAAGTTATCCAGGGTCCACACAGGCTCTCCAGGGGTAGTCGCCACCCCTTCTGCGCTGCCAATCGTAGCCGCCGAAGGTGGGATTGACGACCCACTTGATGACATGATCGTGCTGGATGAGGACGAAGGTATTGCTTCAGCAGACGTGGCCTGTATCTCGGCGACCTTTGGCGTGGTCGGTGGAATTTGCATCCGCTCAGCTCCTTCTTCACGCTTTGCATGACTTCGCTTTCCTCCACCTTTCGTTGGGCACTCTCGAGCTCGATGACCCTCAGCCCCACACGCCAGGCACTTCTTCATGCGTTGATCTTTGGGGAAGCTGGCCATATCATGCTTGTACGGGCACTTTTCTCCCCTTCTACAGCCCGAGGGTTTGCTGAAGTACCTACACAAGGCTTCATTGGTGTCCTTTCCAGTCGGCGAGGTGGGCGGCGACGACGTCATTGTAGTTCCTGGATGAGGCATGGACGACGTAGACGTAGCCCTAATCTTCGGGTTGGTATCCATCCCGCCAGCCGCTGCCATCTGTTCCACCTCCGCCTGCAGGTGCCGTTGGTAATCCTCCACCTGGCGTAGGGTGGGCTTCGCGTCCAAACGCAAAGAAGTGCGTAGCAGCTGCGTCCTGAAATGAGCATCCGGGTTTCCAGTGATGAGCTTCGCCGTAGCCATGTCCAACCCTTTCGCCAGGACTGTTGGGTCTGGAGCACTCATTCCAAGCTGTTGGCACCGTCGTAGATGTCGAGGCCATCCACGCAGGATTTCCAGAGTCTCCGCGACATTCGTCCCGTGAGGTGGAGATTGGAGTTGCGCCAAAGTGTGTCCCCTTTCGGAAGACCCCCCCGGCTGGTACAGCACGAACAACCGGAACACCAGCTGAGTTACGTCCTGCGTTGCCCTCCTCGCGATCAAGTCCGAGCGAACCACCTCCGGGACAGCGTTGAGCAGCAGCTGGCACGCGCGTGCATTCACCCGCGTCCACCTCCCTTTCACTGCGAAGTCGGCATCCTCTGGCTGAATCGTCAGCCGCTCCAACTGCGTAGCCCCAAGCCACTTGGAGTACGAGCCCTCGACCGTTCGAAGGACGGCCTCCCACCATGCCCCGCTATTCTCGCTCAAGTCCTTCATGCCGGTGGAGATCACCTCGATCCAGTCCTGAAAAACCAGCGGTGCATCCTTCGTTCCCGGGACCGTTAACGTCAGCAGAGCTTGGAGCCCCGGCTTCACGGTCTCCGTTCCTCCCGGAGAATCCCCTCCACGTGCTCCTTGAAGATTGCGCTCTTGAAGCTCCTGAAGCTGACGTACTCCACGGGCAATTGCTTCGATCATCGGTGCCGACGTAAGTCCTCCTTGATCAGGGGGCGGCGATGGGGACCTTCCTTTGTTCCTTGAAAACAAAGATCCCAAGATGCCCTGGCTTCCAGTTGGTTCTGCTCCGGCGTTCCCATAGACACCCTCGAAGCTTCCCAGGCCTTCACGCGAGCGGCCCCGATGTGCACTGGAACCTTCTCCACCCGAAGCCATGTTCCCCCGACCTGTCTCCGAGGCATCCCGGTCCTTGCAGAGCGGGCCAACGTTTCCTGCCGAGTCCTCAGCCACTGAAGCCAAACTTTGTCTTACCCCCCCATCCTGCGTAGGTTCTTGATGCGAATGCCCTCGTGGTTCAGGAAAACCATGTTCATCTGCAAGAGGACCTCCATGCATCCCAGTCCATCCTAGGGGTTCTTTACGAGGTAGACTTGGAGGTAGAGGCACTTCATGGCGAGGAAGACCCAGCGCTGCCGACCACGATGAGGACGCTGTTGTAGCCGGTTGCTCCGTAGGGCTTCGAAGGGTCTTGGTGGTTGCCATGCCTGCTGTCATTTGTTGCTTCAGCTGTCCTTCAAGAAGACTATTCCTCTGCTCGGCCATCTCAAGCCGATCAAGCAAAGGGCCCAGCTGACGTTGTACCTCCGCTTGCACCGCCTCCACAGACAGCCCACTTGATGATGGCGGTGTCAGATTCTGGCCCCTGGGCCTTGGTCCCTGCGGGGTCAACGTAGACGATCCACCAACTTGACGAGGTGGTGAGGCCAAAGGACTGGGCACCAGCTCATTGGAGCCAATAGCCCCCATAATCCGCGCTCCCACCCTAGAAATCCACGACCACCCCGACGGCAGCGTTTCCATTTCGGGAAAAGGTCCCCAAGGTGCCATAGAGGTCCGCGATCTCGGTGTGAAGTATTCTGCTCCTTGAAACACAGCAGCTTCCGTGTAGGCAACGTCGTGGTCCACCGGGCGTTTCATTGGCCCCGTCTGTCCACCCGCAGCTTCTACCTCTGGGCTCGCCGCTGCATCCCATCCTGCATCCACTTCACCAGCACTTGCACTGAGTCCTTGTCCACTTGCCCTCCCCGATCCCGAAGCTTCAACTTGTTGTTCATCATCACGAGGAGGAGGCGGGATCGGGCTCGAATTCGTCGCACCGTACCCATTGGTACCCGTGGTGCCATTCACCAACACAGCGGAGTGGTGCGCAGCTGAGCCTTGGGCGCTCATAACCTGTTGTTCCAGGTTTGCCTCAAGGGTTGCTGGCATTGACATCCATGCGCTGCTCGCAAAGACGAAAGATCCCCTTTCTTCCGCTCAAAGCACAAGAGACATGTCAAGTTACTATTCTGCTTACGTCATCTCGTGTGACGTTACAAGACTGTACACTTCCATAAAAGGTGCTGGCCAAGGGTTTATCATGACATCGTAGCCTTCCCTTGAACCAGCAAGTCGCATTGGCGTTCTCGGGTCTTCAAACGCAGCATACCCTTTAGGCGCTACGCTCTCTCCCCACACAGCTTCCCATGCCCTTCATATCCACACCCGAAATATTAGGATTCATGCAGAGAACCCGAATAAAGATCCAGGGTTTCTTAATCAGTTTCCTACATCACTTGTCACCCCTAAACCCGGGAGGGATCACGGTGCCCAAAACTTTGAAACCTTACCCTCTATGCCCTGGGCACCACTAAAAGAGACTGATGGAGAACCGATTCTCGGCTTTCTACGATTTTGGGGGGCTTCAGACTGTTCTGCAAGTGCTACATAGTGAGTCCTAATGAGAGTCTTGCTTGTCCAGTGCCTAAGGGAACTAAAGGTTAACCTTTGGGATTATATAGGGATTATACCCCAACAAGTTTAGAGGCCTGCTCTCTACTAAGGAGAACGGACTTGGGCTTAAAGTTTCAGACCTTGTGGATTTGAAGGGTTCAAATTCGGGGCTTCCCTGTTTTACAAGCAGCGATTGGGGGTTTAATTCGGGGTTTAGGACTTGGGAAAGGGTTTAGGATCTCGGGTTTAGGGCTTGTAGGGTGTATAGGGCTTGCGGGTTGGAGGGTCGAGAGCCTAGTACACATCAACATCCCAAGCCCCCTTAGTAAGATTTGAACACCAAGATTTCAAAAACATCTTTCAAACCCCAGAGCCCTATGAGAACGCAATAGGAAAAAACCAACTCTCAGACCCTGAAAACAACGACAACCCTAAAACCCTCTCGCACCAGAACCCTTAAACCCAAGCATGTGGAAGCCTCAATGATTGCCAATGCTATGTTGGGGGTACCCCAGCATAACTACAGTATAAGATACCCCACAATTCTTTTCCAATCATTCAGCCTTAAAAAAAATATCTTCGCGCCCCCGGATATGTTGGCCCGGGCCTTCGCGCCAGGTGGCCCGAAGTCGCCGGTGGCTTCGGCTGAGGGCGGAGATGCTCTGGGCGTAGCCGGCTGCGAGGTCGGAGAAGCCCTTCTTGCAGTCCTTTGCAAGGTGGTTTTTACCACGGGTTTGAGGTTCTGGGTGGCTTTTTTAAGGTTGGTTAGCGCTTGGGGGCTCATGGCCTTCTGACAATCCTCTGCGCGTTGCGGTTTTGGAGCTCTTTGGCGGTTCAGGGGTTGCTCGCCTTTTTTAGCGTACGCTGGTGGTTTTGGGTTCTTTGCAGGGTGCTTTGAGGCACTAGCTCCGTGGGGTCTTTGGTTAATCGTAGATGGTTACAGGTCTCTGGTATTAGTGGAGTGTTTGGGGCCGAGGGGCTCTTGCGGCGCTTTCGGTTTCTACTTGGTATCTGTTTAGGGTTTAGGGTTTAGGGTTTAGGGTTTAGGGGGAGGCTGTGGGGCTTGGTGTCAGGGCTTTGGTTGGGCTGAAGGTGCTGAGTGTCGGGCTTTGCTGGTTCAGGAATGCTATGGAAAGAAAGGGTTGAGATTTACACAGGGGTTGTTGCAGCCCTCGCCTGTGGTCGGTTGTTTCTATGGTGCTATGGCCCATGCTGCCGTCAGAACTCGTATCTGTCGTGCGATTGTTTGTGGCACTGGAAACAAGAAGACAGACCATAGGCCTAAACCACAAACCTACTGATTGGTAATTTTGTAAGGACGTGAAGAGATTCGGGGTGGATGGTGTTCCACCCCTGTGGGACCTCCATCTACACCCTCCGGCACCTCATTGTAATTTCATGTAGGGGCCTTAATTACTATACCATAATCATAATCAGGAACCCCAAAAATAGTATTGGTAGGTATTTAGGCCCCTGTGTTTTTTGGGTTTGGGGCTTGAGGGTTCAGACGTCCGAGCTTTGAGTGGCGGCCTTTGCTGAGGAGACATTGAGCCCAGTTCCTGCAATGCAAGGCCCTCCGCAATCCCAAATAAAGCCCATCTACTTCAAAGTCACATAATGGCACAGTTCTGTAGTGAGTAACAGGGGAGAGCTGCACTAATTACTCCCGACTGCTGTATCAGGCGGAGCTCCAGGTAGCTGTTCATCTCTGCGAGAGAGGTCTGGAAGGCTTTTACTTCGTCCTCGGCCACGTCAAGATACCTGTGAGGCTTGCGCGGTGGGTATCGCCTTGATACGTGGACTTGGGGAGTTGTTCAAACACTGACACGAAGTTAGAGCATCTTCAAAAGAAAGTGTAAACATTGAGCGCATGATGTGCTACGCACTCCTGGCCGCATGTGGGGGTTTGAGACAGCAGGGGACCCTGAGTACAGAAAAACAGGATCCTTCTTATGAAGACTCCTGAAGCAGAGTATCAACTGCAGTTAAATCCACCCTCACCTCTGCTTGCCTGCTTCTCAACAGCCGAGAAGCCCATCCAGCTTCGTGCGCAGCTGCCACCAGATGTGGTCCAAGGACATTAGGACCTGTCAGCTCTCAACTCGGGGGCTTGACAGGGTTACTGTATGCTTATGGGGTTTGGGGGCTTTGGGTTCAGGGTTCAGACTACAGGGCGCTGTTACAGTATGGGGGCTGCTATGTTTCACATGGTGCTCTTGCCCAGGCATTCCAGCTTCCCATGCCCCCAACACCAGGGTCCCCAAAAGCTGCGGGATTAGGGTGAGGACCTCCGACAAAACCCTAAACCCTAAACTAAATCTCTAAACCCTAAAGCCTTATCCTAGAACCCGAGCCCTCGACTCGCAACCCTAAGCCTTCCCCGCTCAACCCTTCAACCTTCAAGCCATTAACGACCCTTCAAAAACCAAAAAACCCTTAAATCCCTCAAACACAACCCCCTCCCTCGTTAGTACAGCTGCCTGGTGCCGCTCGCGCGCCAGGGCCTTGTGGACCTTGCCCCGTGCGGCGTGGCTGGAGGCATTGCCTGGTGCCGATGGGAACAAGGGAGCCCCCTAAGAGGAGCTGAGGGTTAAGGGCGTAGGGTGCAGTTGCGTTTAGCGTTTAGGGGGTTTTAGGGTTAGGATTTGGGTTTTTATGGTTTTGGGTTTAAGATTTCTTAGTTCAGTTCTTGGAGGCGAAGGACTTGCCAGATTGTTGTTCACTGGTCGTTTCAAGAAGAGGGCGTCCAAGGCTCGCGCAGAGGAATGTGATTGATGTGAGATCGGCTCCTCTTGTTGCCCTCAACCCTAAACACTCAACCCTAAACCTCAACCCTAGACCCTAAACCCTTGACGACCCTAAACCCTAATCCCTTAACCCTAAACACTAAACCGGCACGGGATTTGCAGAGACTTCAAACACTTCAAACATTTCAAACCAGCAGCTCTCTTGCCGGTAGACACCCAGGGTGCGGAGATGGAAGCTCGCCTCGCTTTTGCACGACGACGGTACATCCATAGAGAACGGTTTGGGGTTTAGGGTTTAGGGTTCAGGGTTCGGGGTTTAGCTTTCGGTTTTTTTGGCAGCCGACTAGCCACAGCACAGCGGGGTTACTAAGCTGGTCTCGGAGAACTCGAAAAGGAACCCAGGCAATACTTAGGCTTACCTCGGGAAATCGCCTTCGGCATTCAGGGTAGGAAATGACCGTCAAATCAAAGTGGTTTCCCGCATCCTCCCTCAACCAGATCTCTCGCCGAAAACATCAACCTCAGATTAAACACAACAACCAACCCCCGGACCCCGTTCAGGGAGGTGTGGGAGGTTAAAGTTCGAGCTTCCTCTACTCCACTCCAGTCAGGCTTGACGGCCCACGGAAGACACCCTCCATAATAAAACAACAATGTCAGAGAAGCCCTTCAAGCCTGACCACACCATGGCTGGCTCGACCCCATGGCTCCCCTTTCAATGCTCCGTTGTTGGCCCAGGAAGGCTTCTACAAACATGACAACCACAGATTATGGCACCAAAACGTAAAAACGTTTACTAGGGGGTGGTCAGCCACGTAGTGCAACGTCATGGGCCCGGGATTTGCGCAGGCGCTCCCGGTGGCCCCGTCCGGATGGGCCGAGTCTCCAGGTCCCGAACCCTAACCAGACACATCCATAAAGTCCTAGGCCCCGATTCGGCTCATCCTCCGTGGATCTGTAGGCTTTGAAATGTGGCCCTACAGTGGTGCATCTCAAAGGTGAATCGCTTGGGGTTCACACAGGAGCAATTAGCTTCTAGGCACGCCTGTGGCCAGTTACTAGGTCATCGGTCCCCCGCGATTCCCCTTCGTCCTGTGCATATAGGCTGCCAATCGGCCTTCATGCGGCTTGAAACGTGCCGCGTGTCGGACGTGTGTACAAAATTCGGACTGCAAAAGGGGTCCCCAGGCGATCAACAGGACTCAATTGGTAGCTACAGGCTTCAGCGGGTTTAGGGTTGGGGGGGACAGCAAAACCCAACGGTATCCAACAAAAGTTCTGGGTTTAGTGTTTAGGGTTTGCGTTTAGGATTTGGGGATTTGGGGCTTAGGGTGCAATACAAGTGCTGACTCCAGTGTTGCATGGAACAGCAGGACAAGAAGGGTTTAAGCGCAAAAGGTAGACAGAAAAGAAGATTATGTCCAGGAACAGGACCCGAGAGGAGTTTTCGTTATGGAACCCTAAATTCTAAACGACAGGACCCAAGAGGAGTTTTCGTTATGTGCATCAGATCCTACTTTAGACTTCCGGAGCCTCGGGCTCTGACAATTAGAGTAATTAGAGCTTTGGCTTCTTCGAAATAGTATACCATGTTGAAGCCTGAAAGACAGGATGGCCTTCATAATGCGAGTAGGGCTTTGGCGTTTCGATATAGTACGCCCCATGCAGAAGTGTGAAAGAACGGCGCCCTGAAAGGAACCCCGAAGGGAACCTCGAAAGGAACCCTGAAAGAAACCTTGAAAGGAACCCAGAAACCGCACCTGAAAAAGAACAGGGATCCCCTGCCTGGCGCTGAAGATGCCGAACGGTCTGCGCGACCTGGCCGGTGGTTTTGGCGATGCTCTCATGTAAGGCTGAGGGTTCTTTGAAGGTTCCTTTCATGGCTGTTCGCTACGGGTGGCGAAAAACACGGATTCGCTTTAATAAGGGATACCCTAATCGATCTTAAGAAATATTCTTCAATTGGGGTCTCTTTGAGTTACGGGTTCAGAATCTAGGGGCAGCGACTTTACCCTGAAATCTCTAGACCCCTGAAACAAAATCTATCCCCATCTCCACAAAAACAAGTATCTACAACGCCCACGACGACTACGACTACGACTACGACTACGACTCCTCCTCCTGCTGCTACTGCTACTGGTATGGCTGATGAAGTCTTTCCGCAAACGTCAAAGCCTAAACCCTCAACCGCAAAACCCTGAACTCCTAAACCCCAAATCCTGAACCCCGAAGCCTAAATAAACCCTATCCTCCCCTATCTTAGCGACCTGGCGGTTCAGCATCTCGCTCTTCTCCCGGCCGCGCCCCGCGCGCTTCAGGGTCTGGTGCAAGGCCTCGGAATGGAGGGGCTCTATGGGGTTTGGAGCTTTGGGGCTTGGAATTTAAGGCTTCAGGGTTTAGGCTGGTTTAGGGTAGAGGGTCGGCGGACTTACACTAGAAATTGGGTTTCAGAAGCGCTTACTCAATCTTACAAGGTCTTCCGATGTCCTGCGGCGGCTCTAACTCTAAACTTAAACAGGTTACTTACAGTGCGTTGTCCAGCGTTTTTTGTTTTCGTGAAGGCTGCCTTTAGAGGTACTTCAAACTTTCGGCTTGGATTCCTTCGTAAGCACAGGTTTAGGGTTTAGGGAGCTCGGAAAAGGGAAAGCAAGAACACCCGGTATAGATATCAGAGAAACACCAGACTGCAATCACAAGCACTGAGGACTGTAGACCGTTAAGCCACGCAGGAGTCGCTACTCTTTTCTACTGCAGAGGGCTTGCAGCTTGCGAAGTCATGCAACGGGACGATATGCGCATGATGTTACAATACAAGGGTTGTCGCAATGCAAAACTACACCCCCCTCGCCGATTAGTGGCAATGAGAAGGCGGACTCCGCTGCAACCCTGGGAAAACACTAGGTGCACATCGGCCTCGTCTCGCGATGGGCAAGCGATCACCTCGCAGGGTAGAAAAATGTTGGTGCTTAGCGCTTTCTAAGACATGCTCTTGAAGCTGCACATCAAAGCACATGTGAATTCTATTTTGCTCGGGGCAAACAAAAGTGCGAAGATCCATGCACTTATAAACTCCAATGATCGCATCGAACCCAATGGTGAGGATCAAATTGGTACCGTCAGCCGTTACATCGAATTGCGGCGCCGGTATGGTCGGAGTTGTCACACAGGGACGAAATCGGAAATGTTGGGCATATCCACTCGTGCTTTGCATCGCTACGAGTGCTGGCTACCGCGTTAGCGGAGCTCTAGATTTTGGAGTTGCCTACAACACGGCGATATCGAAACAAAAGGTTCTTCGCATTTGGATTGGCAAACGTCAGGGTCTGGCTTCACCATCTTCGGTTCCACCATCCCCCCTGCCAACGCTGGGAATCCCTCCAGGATGAGCCGCTTAAGCATCTCGAGACCTCTTTACGTCAGCGATCTTGGCTTGGTACGCTTGATCTGCAACTACAAGTTCGCTCGCAAGTAGGCCACAGATCCATGCGTCAGTCTCCCGCTGTGACCACTGCATGGTCCCAGTCACGGAAATGGTACCAGAAAAAGTAACCAAGCGCTCGATAGATCTTGATTTGGAGATGATCTGCACAAACTCCTTCACGCTGATGATGGCACCGACCCAAGAGACGGCGAAAGGTGGCTCTTCCGGCATGGCTGCTAAGCCCGCTGCCATCATCTCCTGTGGAGTAGAGATGATGTAAATCAGGCGTGCAGTCGTCAGTGGATCAGATGCCTGATGGCGGGCTCCTGTTCCGTGCGATCCGACGCCTAAGCGTCTTTGCGCCGCAGTACGTCCTTCATTTGGAAGGGCTGCATTGCATAGCAGCTGGTAGATCTTGAGGTCCCGCACATTGAGCCCTCTTGCTCGAAGCATTGACGAGCATATTGGGGATCTCCCTCGAACCGTGCGGTGATGCCGTCGTACTCCATCTTCTGCGCTCGCTTCTGCATCGACTGTGCCTTCGCAAGAGTCTCAGCAGCTCAGCATCTGGCGACATGGCACCCTACCATTGGCGTCCCGGGCCATCTCGCGGATCACGTCCTGGTCCGAGAGCTCGTGGGGGCGCAGTCCAAAATTCGCAGCGTTCGCAGCGGCACACTCCCTGGCAAAACGGCGAGCGCTTTGAAGGCGACGGTGGTGAAGCATAGAACGTTGGGAAAGGAAGGCCTCCCCGCACTGAAAGCAGAGATTCTGCCCCACATAGTAGGAGGTACCGCGCTTCGAGCAAACCTTCTCCCGCAATGAGCCCTGGCCTTCGGGCGATGCTGTGGCGGGGTCGCCGGCTCCGATACCTCCACGGATGTAGCGGGAGTATTCGTCATCTACGCTGACTCGGTGTTCCTCCGCGAATACAGCCCTCCAAAGCGTGGACTACCACCACTCTCCAAACTCCGGGCGGGCCTCGTCGCCGCAGACAAACACTGCAGCGGCCATATTGTGGAGGCTTCTGTGCCCGGCGAGATCGTGTGACCCGCAATGCAGGGGCAGGCAAGAGACTTTAGACTGTCTTTTGGGCAGTGACGATGACTCCTTATCTCGTTCCATGTAGCGACGGTGTTCTGAATGATGTCATGCTGAGTGCCGTCGGTACATCATCACGCTTCGGCTCAACCTTAGTCTCGGCTGCGATCCCTGCGAGCGAGCACATCACTTTCGCATCGGCGCATGCCATGATGTGGGAGTCATGCACATGCAGAGCAACATCAGTGGTGAAGCTCTTAAGCAAACGAGAAATTGTCCTAACCGAACGAAGGCACCTACGGTCACTACTACTACCCGGCAGCGACGCAAAAATAAGTACCTTTCCCCCCTCGTCGCAGTGGGTTTTAGTTTTTCTAACTGTACGGTAGGGGAGAACAACATGCTTTTGAGTTGGGGAGACCAACAAAGGTTTGTTCTTTTGTGTAAACGCAGAACCCCAGATTTCGGAGCCATTGGAAAGCTGTTGTTCAGCTTGAAGTTGGTTCCCAAGCCCTTCAACCCAAAGTCCACCGTCCTGAAAACCCCCAAACTGGATGACAAGGTTCGTACTGTTCTTGAGGTTGCGACTGTCAGTGTGAAGCTTGGATTTAGCGTTCTTACTCGTAGCCAAAGATGCCCATGTAAAGTCAGGGCCTGCGTGCTTGGCGACGAATGCGTTGAGAAACTGACATGTCATGGGGCGCTTGCGTGTGGATCGGTAAGACCTTGCTCGCCACTGAACCAGTACAAACCCCAGGAGTGATAATACGAGTCCTCGTTCACCTCGAGCTTGTTCTTCCTCGTCCGGATTATTCTTTTAGGCAAGGCCTGAATTATTCTTTCTGCGGCGCAGCTACGAAAGTCCGACTTCTCAAGCGCCTCCTTTGCTAACGCCTCGGGATCCGGTTGACCGATGACGGTGGCTGAAATCGAGGGTTTGGCTACCAGGTGGCTATCAGAGTCCTTTCCCTTTGAGGTTTTCTTCTGATTGGGGCAAAGCACAAGGTTAATCAACCGAAGTGCATGCTGCCACTTGGTCCTTCCGGCGAAGGGCTTGGTGAAGATGTCGGCCACTTGCTCACTAGTATCGGCGTTAACCAGATTGAAAAACTTCTGCTCAAACTGTTGCTTCAACCATCCAAAAGAGATCCGTTGAGTACGATCAGTGTGCCTCAGCTTCTCACTATCTCCCTTCAACAGGATCGTTATTGTGGCCTGGTTGCCCTCCAGGACCTGCGCTGCGAACTTGTCGCTGAGTGCAATGTTCAAACCTTGGAGATCAGCAATGGAACGTCCTTCAGGCTTGCCTCCATACCTAAGTTCGTACAGTTCTGGGTCTATTCTAGCCACAATATCATCGGTGTCAAACCGAGCCTTTTGTTTCGGCCGAGCCCTTCGACTGGCTGGATCCACAACGATGTGTTTCCAAAGAAAGAGCCAGAGGCTTAAGCTCGGGAGCCCTTGTGCTCCAACACCGTGATTGGCAGAAACGACCTCGCTCTCCGTACTAGACATAGTGATGCTAGTTTGCTTCTTCGAGAAGGCGTTCAGAGGATAGTACGCGTTGGGCCCTACCAAGTACAATGCACAACCGGGGGTAGACTTGTTGTCATGCTCACCGGACCAGTCAGCATCGCAAAATAACCACAACTTGCAATCACTCACACGATCTCCGATGAAGCCCTGCATCTTAAGGTCCAGAGAGGAGTTGATGTAACAGATTAAGCGATGGAGTCCGACATCGCAGTCTCGCGACCACTTTGTCACCCTGGATCTTGCCATCCGGGCTGCGAAAAGCACTTTCATAAGCACGCGACTTGCAATTGGTTGCAACCGACCCCCTCTTCTTCTCCTTCCGTGGGCCTAGAACTTCTGCTAACCTTGGCCAACTCGCAATACCTTTCGACACAAGAGATGAGGAAATCCCTCACGTCATACGTCATAATGTTCACTGGCTTCGACATAGCGGGGACTGCTTCCTGACAGATCAAGTCCATGGCCTTAAACTTGCCTTGCTTTGCTTCACGCTTGGCTTCCGTTTTGGACCTAGTAGCTAAGGCACGCTTGAAATCCTCGGGATCAACCGATGTGATAGGGAAGTAGGTCCTGCCCGTCCACCAGGTGTCCTGACGTTTGGCTCCATGTTCGTTGAAGTTGTCATGAATGACTGAACCTCCCTCTACCTCAGTGAACCTCTCAAGCGAAATGTTCGGAAAGCGCTGATCATCATGTTCGTCGGGAACACACAGCCTCTTTCGAGGATAGAGGTGACGGCGACCAACAGCACCCAACTCTGGGTCGAAGTCCCAGAAGTCTTCCTTTCGAGTCGGCTCGGGGTTTCCCCAGCTGCAGGAGTTGCCATCTTCTTGTCAAAGACATAAGCAAATGGATGGGTTTTTGCAGAGACCTGGGAAAGTGGGTCCCCTTTTCCGGGATGGGGCGAAGACGAAATTGAAGCCGAAATTTGAAGACGAAGTTCGGCCCAGCCGAAATCAGGCCCTGAAGACGAAATTCGGCACCGAAGACGAAATTCGGCCCCTGAAGCCTAAACTCGGCCCTGAAGCCTAAATTGGGCCCCTGAAGCCGAAAATCGGCCCCGAAGACGAAATTCGGCCGCTGAAGACAAAATTCGGCCCTGAAGTCGAAATGCGGCTCCTGAAGACGAAATTCGGCCATATTCGGCCCTGAAGCCGAAATTCGGCCCTGAAGCAGAAATTCGGCAACTCGGCCCCGGAATGGATTCAGGGCCATTTTAGGCTGCAGGCCCAAGGGGGACCGAAACCGAATTCAAGCTTCAAGGTCCGAATATTGGGCTTCAGGGCCCGAATTTCGTCTTCAGTGCCGAATTTCGTCTTCAAGGCCTAATTTCGGCTGGCGAATTTCGTCTTAAAATTTCGTCTTCGCCTCACCCGAAGCACCTACCGAAAGGCACTGGAGGATCCATGTCGATCACATCGCTGATGGTCTTCCATCCCTTCTCCATGTTTTTGGCTGGGCCGGCCATCTTAAAATCGTCGACATAAACAACCAGGAGGAGGTCGATCGAGTTCAGGGTGGTAGAAAATGGATTGCCATATTTCGGGCAGTACAGCGACCCACCCAGCAGAGGTAAGCTGCTTCGTACAGTGCTGTTCTGCTCGGGATGACCATAAAGCGCTAACATCAGTGGACATACCGGGTCTTTGTACTTCAACCATTCTTTTGGCCACCTATTTCTAGGCAACCTCACCCAAGTTTCAACGCCTTTAAACAGTGCCTGGGTGTAGGCCTGGCGTGCATCGGCCTGCTGCTGCTATATCCAGGCTGACTCCCAAAGATAGCATGATCGTTGTGCTCGTCGGAGACCCTGTTGCCTTGAAAGACACTACGTCCCTTCCACTTGCGATCGGCATGACCCTCGGGAAGCTCTGACCCCTTAAGGCTACAAATCTCAAAAACTTCTATTTTTCTCAAAAAGTGCCTTGACCCCTTTCTTTTGGGCCTTACTGGCTACATCGGAGTACTCACGAACCCTATCCGAGAGCCAGCACTGTTTGTCTACAAGCTTCTGCCACTCTTTGTCAAGAGCACGCTGTGCATCTACGTTGCTGTTGATTTCCTTCTGCGAAACAACCCTTGCAACAAGTGCACACTGGAGCTCAGCAACTTCGCAGAGCTTGTCGAAGTACATGCGGCCGAGCTTCTCGCGGTGTGGTTCCTGAACCCTGGGTCCAACAGGCATAGCAGGAGCAGCAGACTTACGCTTCTCGATCTCAACCTTCCTATGGTACCTCTCGACGTCAGCCTCACGTCGGGCCTTTAACATAGAGGTCCAGAATCAGGGGGCCCCTTAGAACCCTTCTTGTTTCGCGCGAGCCTCTTTTGAGCCATCGGGCATTCTGGTTGGGTCGTGAGGTTTCCAAGCTGGTTTGGGAGCTTTGGGGGCGCTACTGGAGCTTGGTTCAGGAGGAGCCACAGGCTTTGGTTCTCCTACTTTTTCACTGCCGTTTTCCCATGCATCGATTTCGGCACACCTCCGACCCAGCTCTGCCAACAGGTCCTCTTCGTCTTCAGGAGTGTAGTCAGCAAACAGCTGTTCAATGGCATCGTCATCCTCGAACTCGGGTGTCTGCTCGAAACAATTCTGATCATCAAGGGATGGGGGTGCCCCGTCCTCAATAGGGCTGGCAAGTGGAAAAGTAAGGTCACCTACCGGAAGCTCCATGCGTTTGACTCGGAGGATCTTAAGGCAACTCTCTCATATCGACCTTGTCCTCGATTTTTGACCATTCTCCCCCTCTGAAGACCCAAGTTGTCCTGATCACGAAGCTAGGACGCCCTGACGCAGGAGTCCTGAAGGCTTTGGGTTTTTGCCCAATGATCACCTTTCGGTGGCACCTTGGAGATTGCTTCGCGGACCTCAGGGTCAAGGTGCTTACCCGGGTCCTCGTCTTGCTCTTCCTCACCGGCGGATTCATCATTCGCAGCACCGGCGAGCCCGCAAGGGCCGCTATCTACTGAAAAACCGAATCACCCCCCTGGCTAAACAACGGAGAGAGAACATTCCGCTCTCCTTCGATATAGCTGGGTTGCACCAGTGCCAGAGCCTTCTGCGATCACAGGCAGTCTGCTTTTGAGCTTGCACTTCAACTTCTTTCCGTCGGACGAAGAAAGGGGCCTTCCCTGCGTACCAGTGAAAGTCATAAAGCTCGTCCAGGCACCTCCTACCGACGGAGCAAACAGGTGGAGTGCTTTCCAACAGGTAACACTCTACAGGAAGGCTCAGTTCTGGGATGTCCACTTTGACAGATTGGTTCCCTAGAACTGGACCGTTGGCTGTGATAAGACTCACAGGTCTTGATGCTGTTTCGACCTCAACGCTCGGGTAGTGAACCCGAAGATCTTCCTTGCTAATGAGGTCCTCTTCACTGCCAGTGTCAGCTAGAAACTCTAAGCTGGGCACGACGCCTGAGCAGGCGGGCACTAGAGAGCACGTTCGCACTCATCGCATGTTGTGTCACTGCACATGTAGCTACATTCAGCTGGCACATCGTTCAACATGCTTTGCACCACGGCTTCGAGCTGTTTCGTTTCTACTCTGGCACGATTTTGTTCTTTGACGCTTGCCTTGGGGCAGTCCTCGGCAGTGGTGTAAGCCATGCTGAACTGACGTTTCTTCCTGACGTGCCTGTTGCCATCACCTTCGATAGGGATGGCCTTCGTGACAGGTTCATTACAGAAGGCTACTGACAGTGGCTCTATCTTGAAGGTTGACTTGCCTATCCAGGTTCTAGAAGAGGGCTCCGGGGCAGTCTTTCTCCAGTTCCATGCCACTGCAGCAAAGCGAGAGTTTTCAGGAAAGAACTTCCCGACCCTTACCTTGTTCTTAAGTCACTTAACGTCAATCGGACAATCACCGCCTGGCGTCCTTCCTACACGATGATGCCCCATCAACACCCCGCGAATCCTCCGGGACGTCCTGGCGCAGCAATGCAACATGCTGCAGTCTTGTCCATGCTTTTAGACCCACCTCGGCTCTTTGGTCTCCTAGGAGCAGGCGAGGGCGATCTAGGCTTAATAAGAAACTAAGTTCTGTTCTGAGACGTTCATGAACATGATACACATTTGTCTGCGAAAAGAAGTTCGCCGTCATGCTGAGGGTCCGGCCGTCATGCGTGGACATGTTAGCGAGATTAAATGCTTGAGGGTGCAATTGTTGATCTACTTGCATCTCTAGCTCTAGCGCTCCTGCCCGGCTTCCCGTTGCCGGGAGCAGCAAGGGAAGCCCTGACCGTTCTGCAGTTGCTTCTTCTGCAAGTATGAGCTCAGGGGATGCAAGGTCTGTGACATCATCCGCAAGCACGTAGGCTATACGGCTGATAACCTATAGTTATCAGAGAAACACCAGACTGCAATCACAAGCACTGAGGACTGTAGACCGTTAAGCCATGCAGGAGTCGCTACTCTTTTCTACTGCAGAGGGCTTGCGAGGTAATGCAACAGGACGATATGCGCATGATGTTAAAATACAAGGGTTGTCGCAACGCAAAACTACACCCGGTGCTTTGGGGTCGACGCTTTGGACTGTGCAAACTATGAAAAGGCCACGGTTGCCACTCTGAACCCGCGCCCTAAACCCTAAACGCAGGCGGATCACAGACTTTGTTTTTGGACCGTCCTGCTTGAGTGCACGTGCCGAAATCCTAAATCCTGAAGCCAGAACCCCTTAAACACTAAACCCTAAACTCTCGTAACTGTAAGGAAGGCACATCCAAGCGCCCCAGTAGCGACGCGGCGGCCGTGGCGTTGGCTTTCGGGGAGAAGTCGGCAGATTCCAGGAACTCCTTTTTGGCTTTAGGGTTGAGGGTTCAGGCCTAAGGGCTTAAAACGGCTTGTAAGCGCTTAAAGCGGCTGTAGGCTCTGAAAAAGCTCTCTCAGGTTTATAGAGGCTTTGTGTAGGGGTTTCAAAGGATTGTTGTAGGGGCGGGGTGCTACACTGTCAACGATGTTCGTTAGACTAGACTCTCGACTCGAGCCTGAGTAATACGTTCTCGATCTGTACTAAAAACCTGAATGGGACTCCTTTCGCGAACAGAATGATCGATATCGGGGCCTTGGTAATTCGAACAGTGTTTTCGGACACCTTATGCTGTAACACTGATACACATTCTTTGGGCTTCTGCGTTAGTTGTCGAGGCTTATGGCTCGTTTCCCGGCACCAATTTTCGATGAGCCTCTAAGCGGAAGAGGTATGGGAGTGAAGTAGAGTGGAGAAGGCTAGCAGCAGTAGCTGCGGCCGCCCACGCTCGTCAGGCAAGGGGAAGGGGAGAGCGACCCACACCCCAGCCCTGAGTCATCGTGCAACCAGGTAGCACATACAAATTGAGAAGGGAAGGAGGGCAGGTACACAACCAATGCGCGGGGAGGCACAAGGCCAATCCCAGGGGCAGCGCAAATACAGAGGGGAAGGAGGGCAGGCACACACAGCCAATGCGCGGAGCGCAGAAAGGGAAGGAGGGCAGGCGCGCACAGCCAATGCGCGGGGAGGCACAAAGGCAACCCCAGGGGCAGCGCGTACAAGGGAAGGAGGACAGGCGCAAAGCCAGTGTGCAAGGAGGCACAAAGCCAATCCCAGGCGCAGCGCATATACAGAAGCGAAGGAGGGCAGGCACACAGCCAACCAATCTCAGGGTAGCATAGGAAGGGAAGCAGGGCAGGAACACACGCAGCCAATGCGCAGGGAGGCACAAAGCCAATCCCCAGGCCAGCGGCGGGGAGGCACAAAGCTAAACCCAGGGGCAGCGCACGCAAAGGGAAGGAGGGCAAGCACGCACAGCCAATGCGCGGGGAGGCACGACAAAGCCAATCCCGGGCAGCGCATAGGAAGGGAAGGAGGGCATGCAGGAACACACACACACACACAGCCAATGCGCGGGGAGGCACAAAGCCAAACCCCAGGGCAGTGCGTGTGTACGGAAGGGAAGGCGGGCAGGCACGCCCAGCCAATGCACAAAGCCAAACCCAAGGGCAGCGCGTGCAAAGGGAAGGAGGGCAGGCACACACAGCCAACGTGCGGGGAGGCATAAAGCCAATCCCAGGGGCAGCGCGTACAAGGGAAGGAGGACGACAGGCGCAAAGCCAATGTGCAGAGAGGCACAAAGCCAATCCCAGGCGCAGCGCATATACAGAAGCGAAGGAGGGCAGGCACACAGCCAATGCGCAGGGACAAAGCCAATCCCGGGCCAGGATAGAGCATAGGAACGGAAGGAGGCCAGGAACACACACAGCCAATGTGCGGGCAGGCACAAAGCCAATCCCAGGGCAGCACATGTGTACAGAAGGGAAGGAGGGCAGGCATGCACAGCCAATGCGCGGAGACCAAATCCAGGGGCAGCGCACACAGAAGGGAAGGAGGGCAGGCACACACAGCCAACTTACGGGGAGGCACCAAACCCAGGGTAGGGCAAGTGCGCGGAAAGGTCAAACTGGACTACAGTAGAAAACAGACGGCGTAACAAACAAGCAGCCCAACAAGAGAGGACAAGCCGCTAATGCAGCTCACAGGAGTTCAACAGCAGCAGCAGAGACAGCCAGGACACAGCGAAGTCAAGGAACCCAAAAGTGCAAAACGGCAAGCAATGATAAGGGGTATGGGGCACGGTGCTCGGGCGAGCGCAGTGAACGGGCACAACAAGACAAGACCCACAGAGCCGCACACGCATGACAACTCCGCAGCGCCGCGGCCGCAACCAAAGGCACTGTCGCCCCTGCAGCGCGGACAGGCGGGCGGGTGAGGAGTGCTCATCGGGGGTTAAACCCCCCTTAGCGCCGCCATCGGGGTCATCCTCACCAGGTAGCCCACCAACCAGAGGTATCGGAGCTTACTGAGTTTTGGGTTTAGGGCTTAGGGCAGGGACTATCGAGGGATAGCATTTCTAATCACTCAGGCCTCTGCATTACCCGCCTCTGTAACAGTTTCATAGAAGTCCTACCAAGGTATCCATTTCAAAACCCATGTGACTCTTACATGCGCATATGGGTGTACTGGGAAGGTATACTTGCTAAACACAAAAACCCCTCCAAAGCCGTAGTAGAAGCCCTGTAAGATGCCTTAGCCTCAGCCCTTAGCCCGAAATTTCAAACCCCCACAAAGCCCTATAATGACCCTGTAGGATACCTCAGGGAACCCTATAGCAACCTCAAAGCCCCAAGCTCTGCAAAAACAAGGATCTTCTACCGCTCGCTTGGCCGTGATTTTCGAGAGCTCGTCAAAAGAGGCAGCCTGCCAAGCAGGTCTGTGTGGCCATTTAAAGGCCTTCCAGGGCCTTAACTTGAATAAGGTTTGGAGTGTGCCAGCTACAGGTAGCGCCCGTAGGGTTAGGGTTTGGGGGGTGTTGGTACTCGGACCCTTGGGCTGTAGGCTTAGGCCGGTTAGTCCCGCACTGGACCCCCCTAGTCCTGGTTGGTTCCCGTTCAGGGAGTAAAGGGTTAAGGAACTCCGTAAATCAAAATTTGTTCCCTTCAGGGGTGATATCCTTGAGTTGTTCCCCCATTCGGTTTCCGCATAGGGTTTGTAGGTTGTGGCGTTTATATACACATATATAATAAGCTCCGCGAAAAGCGTCTAGGGCTGCAGGTCTGTGAGTGTAAAGATCTTTAGGTTTTCCACCGCCTCAACCCTCAGTCCCCAACCCTAAATCACCAGACATCTGGACATCCGGCGATAGTCGAAGCGCATTTAAAAAGGGTCAAAAGCCCGCTCCCTCCCTAGTTCTCTAATGGAGAGGTAACCGGGGTTTTGGTGCATATCAAACTGCAACTGTAAGACGAAACCCTCAGGGGTGGCAATACAATTTATTCTGGTTTTTTATTCAGCTGCACTTTGCGAAATCGTCTGCTCACGGGTCGTTGCTGCTGGCAGCCGCTTGAGCATGTCAAAGAACGACATAAGAAGAAGTGTTGCACTCCGTTCCCTTTCTCGTCATCGTTCCGTCCAGTTCCATGTGTCATTCTCCGGCCCTCCTCGCGCTTCTACCCTAAACCCTCAACCCATTTAAATTTAAACAATGTAGAAACCCAAGGCTCAAGGCTGCTAGGAGAAAAACATGGCTGTACTCACCGAGTAGGCAAAACCAGATTTGGGGAAAGGCCATGGGCCGCCTGCGCATAGCCGGCCAGCTCGGAAAACCTTGCGTGTCTCATGAGGGTTTGGTTTTTTTGTTGAACCCCTGTTCTTCCTTAGAGTTTAGGGTCCAGTTTAGGGTTCAAGGTATAGCAATACCGACTGAACCCTGAAATCTTGATAACACCCAATAAAGCCTGTAGAAACACTTACCAACCAAAAAAGCACTCTATTCACAAGCTCTTGACTCTTGCTTCTTGGGCCGGGCTAGGCGGGTTTAGGGCTTAGTATAGGGGACATGAACGATTGGGCTTCACGAGGGATGCGGTGACTTCGCGCCTGCGCTTAGAGTTGAGGGGGGTTTCCACTTGTCACGTTTAGGGTTTGGAGTTTAGTGAGTTTAGGGACTCAGGGTTTGGGTTTAGGGTACTTCAGGATATTGAAATCGCATGGTCTTTCGGTCTTGGTGTTACGAGAAACCGAAAGAACACACGGGCGCACGAACGCACACACTGCTCTACAACACATCTTAAAACCCGAGCCTTCCCGAAATCAAAAACACTAAGGCCTGGATCTAGTTTGCTATGACGTTCTTGAAGCCCTCTTGGATAGTATCCAGGTCTTTTGAAACCACCTATATAATCCCTGTACACTTCCTCCCTACATGATACTTGTTTTGGCCATCGATAATGTCCAGAAAACTAACCCAAACCCGAAAACCCTAAACCCCTAAACCCCGCAACCCTAAACCCCTAAACCCTTTCTTGAACCCGCGCTATTCGACTGCCTGAGACGGGAACTAAACCCCTTAACCCTAAACCCCTAGACTAAACCCTAAACATCCCTAAACCCAAAACCCAAAACATCTAAACCCTGGGTCCGGGCTGCATGGCGTCTGTGGCACTCTCAGTGCCCTGCAGGAGCTGCTCCTGAGCGTTCTCTGTATGGATTTTGGGATTTCCTCTCCGGGTCTTTAGGGTTAAGGGTTTAGGGTTTAGGGTTTGGTCGCTCACACGCGGACAGGCCAGGCGAGGCACTGTCCCCTGGTCTCCGTGTGGCCCTTCTCAGCACATCTGGCGAAGCTAGGCAGTGGTGATACTCAACAGCTGTTACTCTACTCACGGCGTGATAATTACTCTGCAAGGATAACTACAGTACAGACTGTCGGACATGCCCTTCTCTCAGTGCCTCTTTACGATTTTTGTGCTTCTGTTCCAGGCAGGGGAGGAATTACGACCACCTTTACCACGCCAACATTTGACAGGCTATTGGAAAAGAAAAAAAAGCATTGTGGTTATTCATGAGCGTAGCGAACGAATAAACACGATATATTTTTTGGTTTTTCTTCGAAGTATTCTTGTATATTGAATATTATTTACTCGGATTTTTTGTTTACATATATATATATATATAAATATTTCTTGAGGTACTATTATTGTATTTATTAATTGTAAACGATTTATTGCTTCAATATAACCTATTTTATTCTTATCTTTTAATATAAAATCATCATCGATTAACAACTCTTTTTGTGATAAATTATACAACCTATATATATATATAACAGTGTTTCAGTTTCAAACTGAAAAAAGGGTTGTGATAGCTTGTGATATATATATAATATAAATTGAAAAACTGAGCCCATCATCCGGAATCCATGCTCCAACTTCTTGAGTTCCCTCAAGCCCTGAACCCTCAACCCTAAACTTAACTCAACCCTAAACTCTAAACCCTAACCTTAAACCCAAAAAACCCAAACCTTAAACCCTAAACCCCAAACCTTTACAGCCCTGCGACCCTCCTGAAGCCTAAACCCTTTGGTCCGCCGGACCCTCCTCGGCGGCCTCTGACTGCAGGGTTACCATGTCCTGGGCTGACGTCGCTTGGGCTTTTAGGGTTTAGCGATCTCATCTCTTTCAGGGCGCCTAAAGATTCCGAGGAGGCGTTTGTGGCTTTCAGGGGGTTCTGCGGAGGCTCCGTAGAGTTGAGGTTTCTGGTAATTTAATTTTAAGGAACCAAGCAAATTGCTGGACCACGGTTTTCATCTAGGGAGGCTTAGGGTTCCAGCTACAGGCCGGGATAGAGGTTTCTTTAAGGTTCAAGGGTAAGTTAAGGCTTTTAATGTGGCTGCGTTACATTTAGAATACGGGTTTGGGGTCTATTAACGTATTCTGACCTCTGATCAGACATCCTAAGGAGCAGCATGATCAACCATGCAGGCTTCTGTATGCATCACAACATGAGGGAATTCTACAGTCTCGATTGTAGCCGCTCCACTCAGTGTTTACGGCAAAACCTCCACGGTTATTCGGCCAAGTCTCGTGGATTTCCTGCATGTAGGCCTTGTCGATGGCGTGCATGTAGTCCAGCTTCTCGCCGATCCAGCCAATGTCGGTGTGAGATGCATCGACGGACCACTTGACCAGAGCCTGCTGAGCTACGACTCGGGCTTAGGGCTTCGGGCTTCGGGTTCAGGATCTTCTGCTAGGAACCGGAATTTGGGAATACAGCCGTCGCGATTTATCATCACAAGCAGAAATTGCCAGCACTATAATCACTATAAGCATCATCATGACTCATATGATTGCGGATACTGCTGTTTGCATGCAACTTGGTTCTGTGCAGGCACGGCGTTTCAAATATTCATGCTCCCGCTGCCCAAAGCCCAACATCACCCTTTTTGGAAGGCCCCTGAAATCTCTAAGCCCTCTGAAATCTCTAACCCCTCAGAACCCCAGACTCCCACGCAAAAGGCCGAAGGGCTTGAGAGTTGCGGTCTGTGTGATTCAGGCTTGGCTGTACGGGTCTGGACATCGGGTAAGCCTTCAAGTTGCTGTTGGTCTTCTTCGTCGCCATCTCAAGATTGCCTCTGGAGGGCTTTCATCTGGCTTAGCAGAAGAAAAACGACTTGAACAAAGCGCAGCTTTGAGGGTTTAGGAAATGCCAGATACGCTAACACCCTACATGTCTAAGGTTGAAGGCGAGACATGTGCCTTTCCCTTGAGCTTTTGGCAGCTTTACCCGAAAGGCTTCAGGGATTTAAGGGCCTAGTAGTTTAGCACCTTAGGATAGTAGACCTACTGTGTCAGGGGAAAACTTTTGAAGCAAGGATCCAGATAGGTTCGGCATACAGTCTAGTCTGTGTTGCACAGGGAAAGCTACCAAGCCAGGGAACTAGCGCTCTGGCGTGTCCTTTACATTTCCGGCAACAGCAACAGAAACCACTGAGCGCTCAAAGCAAAAATCACATTTGGCGCAATGGCTCCTGACAGCCGCTTAGGGCTTAGGGTTGACCCGTAAGTATATGTTCAACTCTGAAACCCCACGCGTGGTAGGACCTTTGTTCAGTGAGCGCTTCGTCCCTAAGCCCGCAACACTTTACCTCAAGCCCAAGCCCTCGACTAACCCGAAGGCCAAGCAGCGGATGATGGACCGATCGCCCCTGATCACTGCATCCCGCACGCAGTGGATGTCGCAGAAAGCTCGAGCAAATCCGATCTGCATAGGATTGCATGCGGCATAGCCTTCCTCAGTGGAACGTGTGGAAGACTTTGTTGTAAACTTTCGCGTGATTAGTTCTTCTGATCTTTCAGATGGTACCTCCAGAACTTCTATTAGCATGTAGATGCTTTTGACCGTGAGGCTCTCATCGGACTATTGCAGGGTTCGAGATGAGAATGGAGTTCCGAGCTTCGGGGTCTGGATTTCAGGGTTTTGGTTGGGGTCTCAGTCTTGTGTTCACGTCTTCAGGTTTGGATGAATTTTGGACTAGGAATCTAGAATTTTAAGGTCTGCAACTACGCGGCTGAAACTTTGTGATCAGAAGGGGCGACGACCAACTGCAAAACATAGTCTTGCGCACTGCAATTGAAAGTTCTAGACCCACAATTAGACGAGCCCTAGCCCGAGCTTCCTACAAACGAAACCCGAATTTAAGGGAGCTAGAAACCTGAAAATAGTACTTATTGCCACTATTCCTAGGTTCCGTATTATACCAAGAGTATGGTACTGTATACCCCAAACCCTGTATTTATCCCCCGCCCTGAAGCTGCGACATGCTTGAAGCCTTAGGTTGTAAGTGGCTCAGATGGTGCACGGCTGGTTTCTCCACCCAGACAGCTCCTATGACACCTATCAGGAGCTAGAAAGAGTAGAGAGCCCAATGCGTATTCATACTGTAAGACTATGCTTAACATCGCAACAAGAGGCTCTGAGTGGCTTAAGATATGTTCCCCAGCTGGGGAGTATGAGAAACAAACCTGCAGCACAAGGACCACGAGAGAAAAAGCTCCCAAATCTCAAGCGGAGAGCCCCCCCGCCCCCGCCGACCTCAAAAAAAAACCCTGAACCCTAATCTCCGACTCCTAAATCCGAAACCTTAATTGTGGGCTTTTCGGGTCTAAACTCCCTGAACCCAGGGAAAACCTCTCCGCTGCAGGCGAGGCTCTTGCTCGATGGACCAGCCCTGCCTGCTTGAACCGGGTACTTGTCAATGCTATGGCCCCTTTTCGGGTGCCCTACTCATGATTAGGATTAAGGACCCAAAAGGAGCCATCATTTTGACAACCACCCAATTGCATTCCATTCTTCAGAAAGGCTTCGGCTTCTACAAGAGCCTGTGTACTGGGGTGTTGATCCGATTTAGGGTTTAGGGTTTAGGGTTTAGAGTTTAGGGACAGAGGGAAGCGGTTTGGGTTGGGCTTTGGAGTTCAAGGCATTCGGGCCCTGAACCCCAATCCCTACTTTGAGGGTATGCGGTTTGAAGTGGGCTCAAGGGTGCTGTGGTTCCCTGTTTATCCCTGCGGCCCTAAGGTTTTGGACCTTGGGCTTGGGATGGGATGTGGGTTTAGGAGTTAGGAGTTGGCGTAGGGTTGTGAAAAAACAGATTACATTATTAGAATACTATGTTGTATTATATTACAATGTATCTTATCCAATCATAACGAATATAATATCATATCATAGTATACCATACCATATGACATACTACAGGATAGAACATCATAGAACACAATAAAAGACAATACAGCAAATGTAACATGATGTACTAGAACAGAACGGAACATAACAGAAGACAGTGCAACATCATGTAATATGACAGCATGCTATACTCAAAATATGATGTAACATAAACTTGACTCTAACATGGTGTAGTATCATATAACTAAAAATACAATAGAATGTAAACATACTAAATTATGCATAAACCATAATATACTGTATTTTAATATAAAATAACGGCACAGCATGCAGTCGGCTCACAACGATGTCTATGCATGAAGGCCAGAGGCCCGAGGCACAAGTACCTGCAGCACTCGCACACGTAGCTCACGTCCCCCAAAGTTACGAGAACTCACAGAACACGCAATGGGTTCAGGATCTCGGGGTTCCGGATCTCGGAGTTCAGGGTTTGGGTTTCGGGGTTGGGGCTCAAGGTTCAAGAGGGTTGGGCTTACCGGTTGGGGCTAAACTCTAAACCGTAAACCCCAAACCCCAAACCCTGAACAGTGGAGTTTGAACCCCTCCGCGGAGGCCGCCTGGTCATGTGAAAGCCACCGGATCTGGCGAGTGCACCGACAAACCCCACGATGCCTCCAAAGCAGTGGCTTGGGGTTTAGGCCTTAGGGGTTCAAGATTTGGGGTTTTTGGGGTTTAGGGTTTTGGAGGTTTAGGGTTTGGGGGTTAGGGTTTGGCTTTTTGGGGTTTGGGGTTCTGGGGTTCAGCCGTCAAGAAACTTCTCGCTGGTTGATGGTTAAGCTGACACATCTTTCCGAATTTAGCCGAAAGTTGCTTGTATCGCATGTGGGGTCTGAATGGGCATCCCTTTTTGGCTCCTTAATATTTAGGATACCCCGAAAGGGACCATAATTTTGACAACTACTCATGCAGAAGGTTGTTAATCGTATGAGTGTGCCTGCCAGATGACATCACTTTAGCGTATTGAATTACGTCTTTAGGTTCTTTCTGCTTTGGCGTCACGGATCACATTTAATGTCCCGAAAGCTATCAGACAACAGAATACAGAACAAACAAGGATAAAGTGGACAACCTTGACATATTCCGGATGTTTGAGCTTGGTATTATGATCTGATTTCAAATTTTTATGCCTCGAAATTGCGGATCTTTGTATATGTTATTATGTTGCTGGTCGCACAGTCTAGAAATACGAGTGATACATCTTTTCCCGTCTCTCGGCCATGTCCATTGGTCTGAGCTGCCGGCGTCTTTGCGAAACCCGAATTGTGCTTTGGAAGTCCATGGGTCGATCACATCAGATATGCGTAGCTTCACCAGTGCGGCGAGAGCTTTACATAGAGTCTGAAGCAATGCTACCGGTCGATAGTTTTCAAATTTGGCCGCGTTGCCCTCCTTATATACTGATGTTGTGTTTCCATATAGATAAGCGCGCGAAAGTATTCTCTAATGTGCTAGAGGCTTTGCGCAGTTTTTGATCGTTTAGCCACTCTAGAAGCTCCGCAGCAGTTTTGTCAGGTCCTCGTATTGTATTTCGTGAGGCTTCTTGATGACCGCGTTAAGTTCATCTAACTCCCAAGCGGTGTCCTTCTTGAAATTTTCACCTACGTGGGATAGTGCCTGTCTACGGGGGACATATTTCACGCTTGTGTTTCCCACTGAACTTCGGCAAGATACTCTGCCGCCTTGATTGGGAAGCGCGATTTTGGGATGTAATTGCGCTAACTTGAAATTGCAAGTTAGAGGCACACATTTCAATCTTCGGAATCTTTTCACCTGCATCCTTGTACGTCCCTAGCCTCTGGCTGTTGTGTCATGTGTTTCCGTTTGTCCCGGCGCAAATGGTTATGCAATGTTTGTTCAGCTTCGTTCGCTTCATGTGTTCGCCCTTGTTGCGTTATGTGTTGTTTATCAGTTCATCACTGAGGAGGTGCCATGTGACATCAGAGCTGCAAGGTCCTCTGGCGTTCGTGGCTGCAGCATCTTGTAAAATGCTTGCCAACCCCTAAACCCTAAACCCTCAGAAGGATCTTCGCTTGCGGAAACCTGTTGGTCTCCATATGCTGTGGAAACAAGTTGGCTGTAACTTTGTCACTGTCCATTACTAGGTGAACGATATGCTTGTGGCTTTTGCAGAGTGTTCTTTCCTTTCGAGCGAGTATCGGTTGACGCTTGCTACTAAATGTTCGTGGTCAGATGCGATCGAATGTTGCAGCTTCGTTTCGATGCTTGTAACCGATTTTTGCCACGGCTGTCTGATGCAAATGCAATCAATTTGAGTATGTCGGTTTGTCATGTATGGAATTGTACAACTCGGCATAGTCGTGTTCTCATATGTTTATTGATTTGGCATTACCTTTTCCGGAACATGGTTTTCGTGACTGCAAGGCGTCTTTCCTGACATAGCTCAGCGAAGCTGTGTCTGCTTTCTGCTGTTTCTCAGGTAGTTGCTCTATGGTGCTAGTATCTTCTCTGAACATGTATGGCACAAATATGATGAGGACGCTGTTCCGTGAGTCTGGCGGTGAAGTCACCTAGAATGATATTTTTTCGCGACTCGGGATGCTTACAACGAAATCATGTAGTTCCTCGTAAGACTCCGCTTCTTCACTTTAACTCTTTCCAGCCTGAGGCACCTATGCAACTGTTATTTACATTCATACGAAGGGGAAGGTACCAAAACAAACTAGCACACTTCGGCCGGTACTTTGTCGCATGTCACGCTTGTAGGCATTCAATCTACTTGAATAAGCAAACTGGGTTCCTCACTTCTCCGCATCTAAACTCTAAGTTGTATAGTTCTAATTAATTTCTGTCAAGGGTTTCGTTTTCGGACTCTTTTCTTTTGTCCTAGCAATCGCCGCAGCGGCTTCCTGTTCAAATGCGACGCTGGTTTAAAAAGGGAATGTGTAACCTCCATGAATGGCTTCTCGACAACTTCTGCATTTACCCGGCTTTATCGGAGGGCTAGAATTTCAATGTAGTTTTTCTCCATTGTGCGTACTTCTTTTTTGGCATCCAAAGATTTGGGCAAGCCCACCATTCAAGTTGAGCGTAGCTAGCTTTTGACTGACCGGGCGGAGGTTGGGGGGCTTGTGCAGCATTCTCTGGGGCAGTTGCATAGTGCTTGTGCTGGCATCTGTTGTGTGGGTGGGCATCACTAGGGTTCTTGAGCAACAGATTTAGTCTCATCCTGCGTAGCCAGATCAGGATCATTCTTCCTCAGCTGTCTATCCTTCCCTCGCTCTTCAGTGAGCTATGCTTTGCGATTTGCTTTCCTTTGTAGCGTAGAAGTTTGGGATCTCTTGTATTTCAGCGTGCGTCGTCCTCCAAAGGCGTTTGCGCATCCTTAAGCTGAGGCTTCGGGTCGGGCATCAATTCGCTCCCACTCCAGGGGGCGGCGGGTGTCCCACCACACCGTTAGAGGGTTGAGGTTTTTGTATTCTGTCAGCATTTTTTGTTTGTAGACTTATCCATAAATTTGCTTGTTGTTTTGCGCCATCTTCTCCAAGATACGCCTGAAAGAGGCA